ATTTTTTTTGACTGAAGATGCTTTTTGTTTGATTGAATCATAAAAACACAAATTTACCTCCATACCAGCCCTAGTGGGCAGCACTAATCCCAAAATTAGTTCCACTAGGCCTAAAACACTAACTCAAATATTTAGGTCCCCTAATTCTAAAGCGCTAACTCAAATATTTAGGTCCCCTAATTCTAAAGCGTTAACTCAAATATTTAGGTCCCCTAATTCTAAAGCACTAATGCACTGAAGGTTTTAGTAAAAGCTAATTCTAAAGCACTAAAATAACCCAATCAACTCATGAACGTTGTTCAACAGACAACATGAGTCACATGTTGCCATGTTGTTCTCTTCAGACTTATCACTGACATTCCACAGCTGGATTTGTGTTCATATATTGTCAATATATTGTCACCTGGTGGATAAGTGACACGTACGAACAAAATGTGACAGTTTTCACCCTCAGCTGTTAACGTAGTGCTTCTAAATGTAGCCTATAAATTTAGTAAGTGCTAATCCACTAATGAATTTTAAAATTAGCAAAAGCCCTAAAGCACTAATCAGGAAATTAGTTCCCCAGTTAGTGCTTTAATGCTTTAGTGGATCTGTGCCCGCCGCTAGGAATCAGTTTGACCTGTTAGCATGCTAGCTTGCATACCCAGTCCAGCTGTGTAGAACGTATGATTGGTCTCTAACTAAAAGTAGTAATAATCTAACACTTTTGGTTAATCTTGTACTGGTTCATCACATCAAAGGACAAATAAACTTTCTCTGTTTTTAGCTCTTCAAGGTTGTTTCGAGAATATAAACTGAGGTTCTCCTGCTGGTTTGGTCCACCATGTAGATGTATTTAATGGGACAGGTAACAAAATTCAACACTTTCAAAAGGTTTAAAACAATTAGGAGTTTACTTTTGAAAAAAATCAACACAGTACTTGTGGTGGAGCATTGGAAATAAAAAGTAGGATAGAAAGTTTGGAGGAATTAAAATAAATACAGGTGGAAATGTCACCAGTGACATTTTGTTCTTGTTTCCCCCGAGTCATTTAGACCATGCGGGCGTTGCTCCTCAGACTCGATCCTGCAGATGTACTCCTGAGTAATCCTCTCTTCTCTGACGCTATAATCCCATGTTGCACCTCATGGTCGGGTTTAAACCAACCCGTGTGCTTTAGTCATCCAAAGGTGCCTTGATGTGATAAGTGCTTTGTTTACTTTAATCCTCCGATTTGAACATCATAGGCTCGATTTGATTATTGTGGAAAAGATTTGGATATTTGCACGACCACAGAATGTTATCAATACTGCAGAAATATATTTGTATTTTACCTTGTTTAAATATTTTAGAGCCTTTTACGTAAGGTAATGGACAGACTGTGTCTGAAATGCGCACTGATTTAGCAATAGTTTCATTGGATCTATAACTGATTAACTTGTGAAGCAAGCCTGATGTAACATGATCACTTCAGTTAAATGGCTAAAAAAAATTAAAATAAAATACTATAAACTCAGTCAAGTTTTGCAGATACTGAGCTACATTTTGGTGTGGTAGTAGCTGAGGGTCATTCCCAACACATACTTTGACCTATTGGTCAAATAGACAAACTCTTGCATCATTTAATCTAACAAGGTTGAGTTAGATCCTCTGGACTTCACTGAAGAAGTGTTTTTTGATAAAAGACTAAACGTTTCAATAAAGAGGAACCCATCCAGAGGACCTGACTCAGCCATGTTTTATTTGTCTACCTGGATTATTAAGCATGCATCAGTAGTATAGTGTAATAGTAATAGTCCATTGCATCATGTAAAATTCAGTGTTAGACAACTTTGAGTCAGTCTTTTCTCAAAATAAGAAAACCTTAGTTAAAAATGTTGATATTAGACTTGATGGACAATATGCATTTCTTCCAGGATCACTGGGATTTTAACT